TCTCTCTCTCTCTCTCTCTCTCTCTCTCTCTCTCTCTCTCTCTCTCTCTCTCTCTCACTCTCTCTCTCTGTCTCTCTCCAATGAAATGAAACTTGAGGGACCAGAGAAAAAATTGTTGGAGAGAATTTTGCTGTAGAGAACTACTATAACATAGGAAAAGGACCCTGTGGGACCATATACAAATGTGTATTGCAGAGAATTTCATTATAGACAAGATCACTGTAGAAAAAGTATACATGTGTAACTATGTCCAACTCAAATTTCACCTGAAATGCCTCATTTTATGGAGTTGCTAGCATGTTCCTTGTAATGCTGAAATATGATCAAGTTTAAGGATGATAATGTAGAAAATTTCATTTCAACTTCGATGCTCACGTGTTTTGCTCTCTTGTATATTTTCATGCAAAATGTGCTGTAATTTACTTTGTCTAAAAAAAAACTGTACCAAGAATCAAGTTTGTAATTTTGTTTTGCTTTGAAAAACAAACCCCAAAAATTAACAGCCCATACAGAGTATATGTCAGCAGTTTGACAATTTACTTTGCAGCTGAACCTCCCAAAGTCAAATACCTCGGTTGGGTCAAATTCTTTTTCAAGTCCCAGTCTGAAAACCCTCACAAATAAGGCATCAAAAAAATCCCTGGCTTTCCTGGCAAGCCTCTGTAACTCAAATTTTCTGGAGGACCTCTTCAGGCTATTCTTTTATTTACACAGGAAACAGAAAAAAGGAATGTAACTTGAAGTGTTTGAAGAGAATGTAAAAGAGTAATTTGGGCAAATGAACTTAGCCTCCAACTTGAGCATCCTCAATTCCTCACTGTCACCCAGGGTTCTTGATTGTGGCGCACTTATGCGCAATCACAAGCAAAATCAAAATTGCAAAGCTTGCAATTTAAATTTTGCATTGAAAAGTTCTCCATCTGAATTCGTAATTTTTTGGGCATTTAACGTGGCTTCTTGCTTGCAAATAAACTTGGAATTGGGTTAGAACTAAGAAAATCAGAAGTTCAGTTTGTTCCATAATTTTTTGGGCTTTAAATGGGAAAATTGTACTATGAAACATTTAATTTTAATTCCAAAGAACGGTTTTGGGGGGGGGAATTTAATTTTTGTAGTCATATTAACAACCAAAATCCCCTTCACTTTCTGCACAATCCTTTTAAGCTAATGTATTTCCGCTACGCTTGGCTGCACCTGGTGCACTAGCAATTAAATTTCACAATCCCGTTGTTGAAGGAATACTTTTCCAACAGCGCTCATGCTTCCTTCCTTTAAGTAAACAAAGCATGACTTCCCTGATCCGAATTGGTTTCTATGTGCATTCTTTGACCTTGGCCAGCTGAAGCTATATATACAGGTGCATTTTATGTTGCATTAAGTTTACCGCACCAGACTCTGACCAAGTGCCTAATCCACACTGCTTTGCTTTGTAGCATTGTATTGTATTGACTGTGTGTGAAGATATAATAAATAATCATTTTAAATGCTCTCACAGAGTAACTTTTGTGGTTCCTTTTAAAGTTGCGGAAAACAATTTAAATCTCCGATCCCCTTTTCCACTAATTATAGAAAGTAAGTTATCAACGACTGATCATTGTTGACCACTAACTTTTAAATTATAGTTTTTGGATAACATTTTGTGTAATTCCCCTACATGGGGGAAGTAACAATTATAGTGGCTTAGTGAATTCTGATTCATGATCATCAGGTGCTGTCCATCTGTGCCTGGACATTTCAGCACAGTTCTCAACACCGCTTCTTTCTTCCTTGCACTCCTCTGCCCAAGGGCTCTTCACTTCCACTCCCTCTCCCAAACTCATCAATGAGTGACATTGCAAAAGTCATATTGTGTTTCTGATTAAGAGTTTTATGCTGATATGTTTGGATTCTGTGGAATCCATCCGCCATTTATTTGGAAGCTAACAGCACATCAATGATAATAATCATTAAAATAATTGCAATTATAATATGCAACATGTGATTTTGCCCCGCCATAGGTCTTTCTGGTGGAAGCTATGCTGCATAGCTGCAATATTACTACTGTAGTAATGCACATTATCAGGCCGATTATTATTGTTTAACCCAATTGTGATGAGGTTAGGTTTAAAAAAAAGTGTATTGTTTTCCCACACACATTTCAGTATGAAATTCCTTCTCAGAAATATCATGTGCGTTTTTTCTTGAAGTCACTCATTCATGCCATAGGGAGAGTGAGTGGAAATGAAATGCCCGTTTAGTAGCAGAACTGTGTGGAAGGAAGTGGCGGTTTGAAAACTATGCTGAAATGTACAGGTACTCCAGGCACCCATGGATTCCTGATGGTCTGTATTCTTGGCGTGCCATGATGGGTCCTATACTTCCCCCATCTATGTAAAAGGTGGAGAAGTACAGTATATACTCCCATAACTAAGGAAGGGATAATCGTAAAATTGCAGGAATAATTTTGACCAATTTAAGCACAGTTGCAATCAAAATCGCAATTGATTGAAAGTGCCATTGGGCAAACATTTCATCATTTGGAGTGATGTGGATTTCGTTTTCGGCAATTTTTTTTACCATTAGCAATTTAGATTGGGCAATTAAATTTTCAATCGCGATGAACTACCCTGCTGTCAACTCATTCGAAAGACAATACGAGGCACAAAATATCAGCTATATTACAATTTCCTGCAATTCTTCTTTCATTCTTTCTTTCCCTCAACAACAGCAAATTGCACGTTTTTCAACTACTTCAAATGTCTGCAATAACTGGAAAATTTTTTTGGGTGGTCGTGCCCTTTGTTGAATAAGCTGGACTTGGAGAAGTTCATCGACTGCATACAATTCTATATGAATCCTTCCTTCTTTCCCTCCTCGTCGATCCCTGGATGATGCATTGATGCACTCTTGACTGAATCCTGCAGTGCTGGTCAGCAGCGGCGGTTGTCCCTGGCGTCGGCGCTGATCCACGAGCCCGAGTTGCTCATCCTGGACGAGCCGACGGTCGGAGTGGACCCGACTTTGCGGCTAGAGTGAGAGAGTTGAGCAGCAGCAGCAGCATCAGCACCTGCTGCGTGCAAATCTTTACACACACATGCCTTTTTTATGCACGAGTTATATGCAAAGTGTATGACTGATGGCTTTCAAAATGATTGTCTTTCCTTGCTGCGTAGGATCTGGAAATACTTGCGGAAGCTGGTCAACGACGAGGGCTCGTCCATCATTGTGACAACACACTATGTGGAGGAGTGTCGTCTCGCGGACACGGTAAGTGAGAGCCAAGCGCAGTACTGTACTGTACTGCACTCTACGCTGTCTACACGATGATCATGATGATGATGTGGATTAACTGCAGGATGGAAATTCTGCACTATACTGCTGCCTCCATCTCTGTGGTTGCTTTGCATTGTATTGATCAGCGTTTCCCAAACCTTTTCGGCCCACCAGTGATCAGGAAATTTCCATACATTTTTTGTGGATTTTTTATGCGGTTCAGGAAATATTTATTTTATTTCCTGCGATATAGGCCTCCGACAAAAACTGGTATTGCAATAAATAATTCAACACTCAGCACGCGGAAAATTTGGATTTTTCTGCGAAATTTTTTGTATGTACATTATATAGAGTTTTTGAAAAACAGGATGGTGTACCCGGGGTCAAGTCCAAACGAATTCGGGTATTTTTTTATCAAAGTGCAAAACAGTTCACAAAACAACGAATCTCCAAAACTGAGGTTTTTTTTTTACCCCAGTCTGAATTAATTTGAATAATATTGGCATGTTCTCAATCCTTCCTTTTTGGGTGCCAGTAGAAGAGTTCCCATTCAATAAAGACAATGAAAGATTAGTGGGAAAAGCCTGACTTTTGGAAGTCTCAAGAACACAATTCCCCTGGAAAAAGAAGTTTGACTTTGTCCTAGCCCACCTGCATGGCAGGGCATTCATGGCCTTTACGAATTATGAAATACAGGTCCACCCAAGAGAATCCTGACTATTTCCTGCAATGGCAAACTACCCTTCAGTGCAGAAGGGTCAAGAACCAATTATAATGAACCAGCTATGGTGGAATGTCTTCAAAAAATTATAAAATGGGATTCAAAAATTGTTTCTCAGAAGGGAAACTTGAATTCTTTAAATTAATTCAGGAAAGTGAATGTTTTCCCAAAGTGTTATTAGGGGGAAAGTTGAGTTTTATCTTTCATTAGATAATTTCAACTGCCATTGTCTTTGCAAAATTTTAGATAAAGATGACACCCTTCATCATTATTACTTTTGAAAAAAATGCATCTATATACTCTTATGACTGAACTTTTCTGCTGACATGCAAAAGATAAAATGTTTGTGGACCAACAATCAGTCTGTGGAATACAGGTGGCAGACTGTGGGACAGCAGTCAATCAACCCACTTGTTTTATTCATAATACGTACAGATCGGCATGATGAAGAGCGGGTTCATGATCGCACAAGCGTCGCCGGCAGAGCTGATGAGAGCGCAGGAAACCGACGACTTGGAGGCCATCTTTGTCCGCCTCTTTCGGCGACATAACGTCAGTGTGGATCAGGTGCCGAACTTGCCCGAGTCGTCCAGCACTACGCAGCTGCAGGTCCCTGCTGCATGTCCATCTTTTCCTCTTGCATTCCTCGTTTCCTTTTCTTTCTTGCGTGATTATGATTGCAATTCCCTCTTTGTCTCTGGGCTCCTCTTCCACTTCTTTGCTGCTGTTTATACTGTAATTACAGTCGCCGACAACAAGTAGTGAGGAGGTGCGTCAGCGAGCAGCAGCAGGAGAGAGATCATCGGCAGGAGCAGATCCCGTCGCCATGGTTAGTGACCAGCTGATGGCATCTCAAATTCGCATCCCGTTCATTTATTTATTCATTTATTTATTTTTGGTGTCAGACTGTTCCTCGTCAGCGTCGCCATCAGAAAATTGTTGGACAGGGGTCTTGCTTTCATGTTCACTTGGAAAAAATATCAATTTACAGCAATAATTTGTGCAACAAATGGAATTTGTGCAAGAGCTACATTTAAAATGTGTTCCCATTATAAATTACAATTTACCAAAGATTTCTACGTTGCATTTTTTAAATTGTTTAAAGTAGTGCAGCTTCAATGCGTGAAGTCTGCTGCTGTATAATAATGGTGGATCAAAGTATCATGGCACCATTGCCACATGTGACAACAGTGTCTGTGCCATGGCACCACTGTTGCATGCAATGACAGTGTCTCAGTATCATGGCATTGTTGTTGCATGTGGCAAAGGTGTCTCAATGTCATGTCACCATTGTTGAATGTAAAAACAAAGCTACAGCTCTGTGATTATTTTTTATTGTTTATATTACACATTTTGAGAGGGAGAAAATTGCTGCAGAAAAACTTCCATCCTGCAGAATTTTTTCAGTATGAGGTGTTTGTACTATGAGGTAAAACTTTACTGTAGTTGTTTTGGGGTAGTGTAGAATTTCAATTAAAATTATAGGTGTTTTTGTGTTGATTAATCATTGCCTTAGTAAGTCATGTACTTATGTTTGAGTTCAAGGCAGCACAGTCATTGGATAATGATTGAGAGAAAGTGTGGTGAAATATTTTTGCTTGCATATTAGCAGCTGTGTGCCAGAATCAGACAATGACCAAAATGACCGGACATGAGCACTTGTACCAGGGTTTTATAGTCCTGTACAGCTAATTGTAGTAGAAGAAATGAGAAGGAAAAATAATTTTCTCATTTACATAGGTGGGAAATTTTTGGTGTTTGACCAAATAAGGTGTTAGCGTCATTTACATCAGGTAAATTCAAGGTGAGGCCCTAAAATGCAGACGTAATTGGTGCCTGGACCCTGCTGTCCTCTCATATATTAGAATGTCTAAATATTGGATAATGTTTTCCCTTAGATTTCAATGTTAATGCATTTGATTGATTATACTGCTACTGTTTGTCAAAAATTTGAAGAAAAAAATTCCCCGAAATTTAAAGAAACAGTATTTTGTCTACCTCAAGAGACAGAAAATAACTGTGCACAACAAAATACACATGATCTTATCTCTATTAGTATGAAAAGTGCCCAAAAACTTAAGGAACAAGCACAAGTTTTCCTATGCAGTGCACTGATGTTGCATGAAACTCTGAAAAAAATTACATAATGATCAGCCTATTTTAGATGATGAATTACAGTTAATTTATGGTTGAATTTTTATATATAAAAAATCACAATCTTTTCAAGAGGCATAAAAATATTGAAAAAAAAAACAAAAAGTTTCCTCTGCTGGGATAGAAATGTCCGTGCCGTGTCCACATTGTGAGATATTGTCCAAACGTTGGGCAGCAGATTTTTTAGGATTCAAGTGTCCATAAGTCAAATTGTGGGTATGTCGCCCCCCCCCCTCATCACTGCTTATTAAAATTTCCCTCTGACTTTCCTTACACATTCACTTAATACGACCTAATTGGAAGAATTGTTAACATTTTGATGTTTTCCCTTTTTTATCAATTTGAAACGCCCATTATTTCCCAGGAACTTTTTCTTGTCCTCTTTCAAAATTTGCTATTAACACGATTTTTTTCTCAAGTCCAATTCATTGCTGCTTGGATGAAAAAAAAAAAAAACAGGGGCGGTCAAAAACGTGTGAGTTTGTATATATACAGTACAGTAGTCTGCATGATAGAGGCTTCATGGTGCTCAAGGTTCAACTGAATGTTGCCTATTGTTGTACAAACGCTCATATATGCAGAGAAAGGCGTCGTCGCATGTGGACGAATTCGACTTCGATGATGAGGATGAAGCCAAGGGCTCGAAGAGGTACAAGCGGCGCTTCATTCCCAGGGCGGCGCCCAGGTTCCTGCCCTCGGGCATCCACCTCTTGGCGCTCATGGTCCGCAACATGGTCGTGCTCTTGCGCACCCCGTCGTGAGTCTATACAAGAGCTGTACTTTAATCTATAGTACAAATACCGCCACCTGGCTCACTTTAGGATTGAATGAGTTCCCGCATGCTGATGACATTCAGCAGAAGATACGTATATGCATTCAGAAGAGGAATTTCAAGTTAAACATTCAACTTTGACTAATTTCATTTATTCAGCATTCATGCTTTGATCAACTGTTGTAGGAATCACGTTTTCATATGAGTCAACTGATTCTCTTAGTGGATTCTTATATTGCTATGGAAAATACAGTAATATAAACATTGCTCTGAAACATTAAAATGTGGGGGGGGGGGAGGGGGGGCAAACACGTGAAATTTGACTGAATGCATGGATGATTTAGAAGATAGTCATGCATGTTAGCATTTGGAATTTCGATTTAGTTGAAATATGGTGATATTCTGCTGTGCCTTGAACTGATTTTAACACGTTTTTATTAACTCGCTTTCTTGTCTGTTTGTTTGTCTGGATCAAATTTTGCAACTCAAATTTTTAAGGTTATTTTTTGCTTTTTGAAAATGTGGTTTTTTAGATTAATTTTTCAATCTACTAAATTTTTTAAAAGAGCTGACAACAGACAAGGATATGCTGAAGTTGAAGGCACTAGAAGGGCTTCATTTGCCCAGTTAAAGTCGCTCCCTTTCTTCTCAGGAATGGGCATAATCAAAGTCACATTCTTTGCTAAAAAAAAAAATACTGTGTGTTTGTTCTCTTTCTTGAGTCCACAAAACAAAAGCTGAAAGCCTTTTATTCATAAAATCCGACTGAGATGAGATGAAAAGAGCAAGAGTCTTTGATGTTGACCCTGTCTGATCGCGTGTGTCGTCGTCCCCTCCACCACTGACCCTGTACAGGATCTACGTGTTCCAGCTCCTGTTCGTGGCACTGCAAGTGGCCCTGTTCTGCCTCACGATCGGATCCGGGCCGAACAAGGAGAACAGACCGGTGGTCGCCGTCGCCGGCGCCCCCGCCAGCATGTGTCACGCCCCGCTGAGCAGCCGCCCTCAGTGCGCCCTGCTCCTGCAAGAGTCCTGCGTCTCCAAGAAGGACGCCGACCGCCACTTCAAAGACTTCCGCGTGGTGAATGCCATTTCTTGAAATTCCGTTGAAATATGAGGGATTCAGATTTTCATCTTTGAATGTTTTCTTGCCCTTTTTCGATGAATACCCTTTACAGTATCATTATTTCGCTGCAGGAGCGATGGAACGTGACGACGGCGGCCGAGGTGGAGCGGAAGCTCAAGTCGGGCGACGCCTGGGCCGCCTTGCTGTACTCGAACGGGTTTGAGGCCCTGCTCAAGTCCTCGGTGGTGGCCGAGGCAGCAGGACGGGCCCAGTTTCAAAGACTGGCAGAGGGAGCTGGCCCAGACACGGTGCACACCCAGCTCAAGGGCGCCGTGACCCAGGCCGGAATCCCGCTCAAGCTTGCTGGTGGCGTCCCGGCCCAGCTCTATATGGATGGCTCAGGTATAAAATGCACGCAGTAGTATTGAGACACACAGCACGAAACCACTTTTATTTTATATACAATACAATACAGTACTGTATAGTCAACTCTCAATTTATTGCCAACCCCGCAGATGAGTACAGTTGGTACCAGAAATTTCCTTGGAACAAATTTCCATTCATTGTGTTTGTAAGGGAACCCATGATTGTGTGCCAACTTACCAAGTGCCATGAAAAATGTCCTCTCCTGAATGAAAGATATGCCAAACTTGGAGGAAGTAAGTCATACATATAGATATAATACTCGATGAATCGGATATTGATGAGAATCTCTTGCCCATGCTCAGGATGACATGAAAAAATTACATGCATATGCATTTACATCCAATTGTGTAGAATTATTTGGATGTCCTATACACAGAATAAAGCAACTCACATTAACTGGGATAGTCTCTTTGCAAAAGTAACAATCACAACCCATGAGGTTGAATTTTTGGCTTTCCATGAAAGATGCATTCATGCACTCTTTTTGAGGGAACAGGAATTTGATTACATTACACCAATTACAGTATTCCTTTAAAAAAAAAGCTCTGCAAAACCGCAGCTTAGTAGAAAGCATTGCCTGACATTTTTTAAAGCTTTTATTCAAATGGTTCTTGTGACCATGCAATTGCAAGTGGGACCATAAAATGACATATCATTTCAAAGGGAATTGAACACGCTTTCATTTGGTGATTTTTCATGGCAAAAGCTGGATTTTTTAATGATCTATTCCAAGTCAAAAATTGGTTCCCTTTTTTCTGGCCCAACATGCATAAAAATGGTGTGCCCCATTACCTTATTGTAGACTCCTACATTTACACATTAGAGAATAACCACATTTAACAATTTTGGCTTGCCATCATGTTTTTCTTTCATCAATAATGTTATACAGTGTTCCCTTTCATGGTTCAAGTTTTCTGGTATTTTTTTGGTATGTGCAGTTTTAGTGTTGCACTAAACCATTGCTATACTGATTGTACAATGAATATATGCATCCATTGCAGTAGTGATTGTAATTGGGCATTGACTATTTGAAAGAACGCAATTGCATTCTTGATTGGGGTAAAACTTGTGTAACCACAATCACAACCAGTGCATATTCTTGAGAAAGGGATTCATATGATGATCGACATCAGGATAATTTACCAAATGCTGGTTGTAATTGGAGGGAAAAAGTTTGTGCATCCATGATAGGCACTAATCTTGGAGGAAGGCCGTTTTCCCTTATTTGCATTTGTGATCTATTGATTCCCATACTCGGAGATATGTTTTATGTTTAGTCTATGGTTAGAATTCCACACAAATTAACCCAGACTTCTTTCATAATGGTGCAAAATTATTCTTCGAAATATGAGATATCTTTGACATGAAACCCATCAGCCAAAGGAGTGACTTCTCAGAGTTAATCTTTATGAACTGGAAAATTATTACAGTACAATGAATCTGGAAGGTACATTTTGGAACTGCTGGCGGTGGAAAACATTGCTATGTCCTATAGCTATTGCGATTTGGAAAAACTATGCAAAATATACAGTGTGTTAGTTATATATAGGGAAATCATGGCCTATAGTAGGCCACAGAGATATAGGGTTAAGGCAATCATTTCCTGGACAGATTGTGATTGCAATTGGGCAACTGAGTTTGTGAATGGATTTAAAAAGTCTGATATGTACTTTTATGCCCCTGTTGCATTATACTGGAACGCGGACTGATGAATTGATGTACTGTACTTCTGTGCATGCAGTTCCATTTAGTGCCATCTTCGCCATGACTGAACTCAAAACCGGGCTGGAAACGTGTCTCCGAGGACCGGCTAAAAAATCAGCTTTGAGAATCGCCGATTCGCCACCTGTGCCCTATCAGGTAGGATGCGTACAAAATGTCACTCCGAAACATAACACATATAAAGTTTGTGAAATGACTGCTACGATTATTTCAATCGTATTCTTGGATGTTTTTCTGTCAATTATTCTTGCATCACTCTACAGCAGTCTATATATACACGTTCACGGCGGTAGCAAGCTGGTATTCCCATCAGGACCCATGTATATAGAGAGAAAAAAGTGTAATTCCACAGCATCATCTGAAGAGAATTTTGGGCAGAGGAGCGAGAAAAAACTATTTTAGGCACGTAGAATGTATCTTTGAATGCGTGTAACGGAGTGTGTTCAGTGGGTACGTCAAAGTGTACGAGTATGTTACCAAAAAAGTGCGGGTACTCTATAAAGTCTATATCATATAGCAAGACTCATTTTCTTGGAAAGAGGAATTTCAAGGAACCTGCTAGGTTTCTTTATTCAATAATTATAGTAGATAAATTAATCTAAAAAACCACATTTAAATGCAATACAAATAGAGAGGCGCCGCATACCCACAGTGCTTTTAAATTTCAATCGGCAGTTGAAAGTTTTTGTACAAAATCAAACTCTAATTAAACTGCTCATAGTGTGCCACAAAGCACAAAAGATTGCATTGTCATCAGTTTCTAAGCTATCCTGAAAGTTTCAGCTTGATAGCTAGTCGGGAAGTGAGTGAAATTTGAGTTGCAAAATTTGATCTGGACAAACAAACAGACAAGAAAGCGAGTTAAGAAAAATGTGGTAAAAATCAATATAGGGACGTGGATGCTATAATAAGCTGCTGCCATGCAAATGCAGCCGTGAAACCGCACAGAGTGTGAAATGTGAAATACATAGTTCGAGCGGCTTTCATTGATTTCTTCATTAAAAAATAAATAAAAGAAGAAACCAGCACAACTGTAGAAATGTAGCATAGTGCATTGGTAAACTCAGAAAAGCACTGAAACGGGACCTCTTATTGTTTATTATTCGGACTTGCATCGCACTGATGCTGTAGTGAGTTGTGATGAATGATTCCAACAACTTATTGATCATCATCATGCGAATACTCATGCACAATTGTTTCATTTTTGCTGGCAGTTCAACCCGAAATTTGGCAGTGATGCCGGGTCCACGCTCGACTTCTTGGCTCCGACTGTGATCGCCCTGTGAGCAGCACCGAATCCTTTGAGAGAGCTGCATAATTAGTTGACTTTGAAAAATTGTCCTGACTCACGGTTGATGCTTGAATACATTTTGTATAGGGTGCCCTTCTACATGTCGTCTACGCTGACCAGTTCTCAGATCGTGCAGGACAAGATCACTGGGGTTCTCTATAGATCCATTGCATCTGGTACAGTATGAATGTCTCTTTCTTGTTCTTTTTCCTTCTCTTTCATTTGACTCAATCACTTACATTTTCTATGAAGAGAAATTATATGCGTACAGTACTCTCGTCAATAAGTATAACTAATGATAATTAGTGAATTTATATTAATATATGTCCTGTGTGTGCAGCAGTCGATGATATGGAGTAGTTCTGGCAGCATATCAAATATTGAATCAAAAATTTGGAAAATGTCGTGCTTATATTCACCCTACACGCATTCTCAACCAATTGACAAATTTTCCATATTTTCCACAGCATACGAGTATAATGTGATGCTTTATGATTCCCCTCTTTCCGAAAAAAAAACTCCAAAACAAATGGATACTGAAAAGCCATATTCTTCAGGTCGTTTCAAATACTGTATACAGACGTCGAAACCCAATTTAGTGCCGTCAGTCGTCGCGGAAAATTTTGTGGCACTATTCGCAAGGGCGGCACTAAATCGGGGGCATTTCTATATCACATTTTTTTAGGGCCTCTATACAATTGGTAAAATAGGTGTTCATTACGTTCGATTTCCAACGGGACATTTTGGGTCAATTTTATCAGAATAATTGACTATTTCGGAAATGAAATAAAATTAGTTGAATTCAGCATGAATTTATGCACAAATTCGAATTTAGCTATTTGCATTTTTGAAATTTCAGAGTCACTGGAATCTATCGGATAGTTCAAGTGCCTCTAATCACCTGGGGATAAAGAAAAGTCAACTGGAAAACCTCGGAGCGCGTCTTGCTCTAGGCTAGGGCATATGCGGTATACCCGAGTGAATTCCATGTTGGATTTTCGAGACTTTCAGTGCAATTAATTGACTGATTTGTACTTTAACTGGAGCAAGTCCACGCGCTGTTGACGGAAAATTGTCAATTGCTGCATGACCGTATTTGCAGTCAATACTGTAATAGCATACAGTACTGTATTATGAATAGTAAATATAGTGCATGAGATACAGTAATTGGAAACGATGAGTGACGAATATTTTTTGTCCTACATTTGACTTGAACCCCGGCTGATGACGAACGATATATGAATGCAGCAGGAAAGTTACATTGCTCCGTTTGTCACATTTGCAACTCTCTCTCTCTATACATATTTCTCATCACCTCTATATTTTCTGTTTGATTTGCATGCTGCACAGTACTTGACAATATCAACAATGATTATACGTGTCACCAATTCATCTATATCGCTTCATGTTTCATACACTGTACTGTATATAGTACGTGGCATCGCCTGATTAATTAATTTTGGTGTCCGAGGGGGTGTGATGTGACGTGATATACTGTATTATTGTGCTTCAGGAGTGCGAGCATCGTCCATCATCCTGAGCCAGGTGATGACGAGTTTCCTGCTGGGTGCCGTGCAGGCCGTGCTCGCAGTCGTGCTCGTGCTCTTTGCCTTTGACGTGACCAACAGGGGCTCTGTGGCTGTGGTCCTGCTCGTCGGGGTGCTCAACTCCATCTTGGGCATCGTCACAGGTATATATACTCATCATCATCATCATCATCAGATCTCGCATCCCGTCGTTGGGCGTCAGTATATATTGTCACTGCATGATGATGAATGTCAACAATATATATACTGATGCACACATCATACTGTACTGTATAACTGCTTGATTGAGAGTTATCATTATTGAGACGCGTCAATGCAGGTCGACTTCAGGCATACAGTTATGAGGCATTTTGAGATGCGGACATCATTTTGCTGGTGCTTGCATTTTAAGTATCCCCTTGTCAGAAAGTCCATTACAGGTTTCCATACACTTTATTGATGGGAACATGTTCATCAAAAATTAGGAATAAAGTCCGCAGAAAATTGAACACGATGATATTCTTTCCCACATTCGACAAAAAAAACTGCTGTGTGGAATGATATCAGAAGAAACTGATCTTTTGGGATCAGTACAGTATGTGAAAGAAAGCAAGGAACAATAACAAGCCTAACTGCACTGCGCAAGCGCATATGATGAAAAAACCTCTGAAAAAAAGCACAACATTAGCTTACCCTATTTGTGATTCGACATTAGGGTAGTTTTATAGATTGAATTCATTGTAATTTTATTTGTTATTAGAAATAGCTCAATGTTTTTCAAGCGATATACAAACATTTCAGCAAATGATGTTTTCCATTTTTCTGCTGGATATGCTGTAAAAGCGTCTGAATTTGGAGACAATGTCCAGATTTTGAGCAGGCTTTTTTTAAAGTTCTGAATGCCCTTCAAGCTGTCACGGGTCGAACAGATGTCGCCCGCTGACACGCCGCTTTTCTCGGGACGACTAGATGTCGCCCGAGTCAGAGGAACAAACAGGAGAAGAAAAATTCGACGCGGCGTACGAAAACGCCACGTCGT